GCGGCGGCAACAATATTACAGCGAGAATAAAAGTTACTCCTTCTTTCTTTGTGTGAACATTTGGGCGGTGTTATGCAAATCTTCCCACATCGTGACATAGACATGTGGGGGCGTGTTCGAACGAGCCGTTTTATGTAGGCATGGTTGACTCTTATCTTTTATAAAGAATATCTCTTTGGATTTGAGACTTTAGTTTTTGCAACTTTACAGATCTTCTTTATGCACCAAGAGCTTGTAACACTCTAAAGAGAAAGGAAAACTTGAAATTGCATCATATGACCCCTTTAAATGTACAAGCCAACAACTTAAAGGAAGTTTCCTAATCGATAAGTCAACAATATAAGTCGTTTATTTGAAAGTTGATTCAAACTGAGTGTGTACCGTCACAGGTACATTTCCTTAAAGAAGACTAACATTTGCTTTGGTAGATCACTTGGAGATTTCCCTTTTAAGCTTCCTTAAATTCTTCACACCCACTTGTACTATCTTTTCACAGGCTTAGAAATGGCTTGGGTTCAACGTCCACCAGAAAAAGTCACGGATGGGGAGGAGTTCAACGTTACCTACTCTGTCACTGCCTCGGATTCCTTTTATGAATACGCCGTTAAAAACAAGATTTTCCAGTTCAGGTGAGCACCATGCACAATGCCGGCCTTCTCAAATGTGCTTTATTGTGTGTAGAAAACACTTTTTACTTCATTGAATGTTCAATATACCACATGAGCTTTTCTCAAATGTGATATCATGTTCACAGTGAATGAAATGTTAGCTTCATGTAACATCGGTTACACTATATGCTTCACTTTCTCCCACAGTGATGCCTCAGAGGCCAAAAGATTCTGCCTCGAGCACGAATGTCCTGCAAACTGGAACAACGCCAATGAAGACAACTGCTGCGTTTACCACGCCAACATTCACTCCTGTCCTCTTGTGCTCATGGTCAGTGCTGTTGTGGTCGGTGTGAAGCCAACAGAAAGTGCTCTTGGATTTTGTCACACTGCTGCTGAAATCTTTTAAATGAAAACTAGGCTAAATGTGGCACATTTTGGCATGATATCAGAGGTCATAAAATGACAGTACTGAAGTATGAAGTATACCAGTTATCGTTGTCGTACAGTAAATGCCCTGTGGCGGTTGCGTGTATGAGCATGTGAGTGTTTCTAAACTGCTTATGCTTTGGAGACAAATTTGCTGAAATGATGTAAGCTAAATCTTAATTATGTTGTCATTAAAATGTGCTTACAAAAAAACAACAACAAACAAACAATTAGCAACTGAATGAAATGAAATGAAGTAATATAATTGAATTTAATGTGGTTACAAAAAACAACAAACAATTAGCAACTGAAATTAAGTGAAATGATTTAATTAAATTCATTATTACTTGTATAAAAATAGAATTAAAACATGAATAAAAATCTCAATAAAATAAATATAATTACACTTAAATTCATTATTATTTAAATAAAAAATAAAATCTAAATGATTAAATTAAATGATTGAATTGATTTTAATTCATAATTTGAATTTGATTTTAATAAAACCTAAATAAAATAAAATCTCTTTGAATTTAATTAAACTTACTACTTTAAAAAATTAAATAAAACATTTAAAATCTAAATTAAATGACATTAAATTAAATATAATTGAATATACAGTAATTAAATTCATTATTACTTAAATTAACTTAAACATTTAATAAATCTATTAAAAACCTAAATTAAATAATATAATTGAATTTAATCAAATTATTTAAATAAAAATTAAATCAAATTAATTTAAATGGAAAACATGTCTCTTGTGTTCACCAAGGCATTAGAAAAAATACAGCAAAGGCAGTAAAATTATGAAATATTATTACAATTTAAAGTAATGGTTTTCTATTTTAATATATTCTCAAACTTTATTTATTCCTGTGATGCGAAGCTGAATTTTCAGCAGCAATTACTCCAGTCTTCAGTGTCACATGATCCTTCACAAATCATTCTAATATGCTGATTTGCTGCTCAAGAAACATTTATTATCAATGTTGAAAAATGTTGAGCTGCTTAATATTTTTGTGGAAACCGTGATTTTTTTTCTTCAACGAACAGAAACATTTTAATTTAAAATATATAATTTTGTTACATTATAAAAAAATATTTACTGTCACTTTGGAGCTATTTAATGCATCCTTGCATAATAAAAGTATTAATTTCTTTTAAAAAAATTACTGATCCTATTCTTTTGATTAGTATAATTTTGGTTTACATAAGCTTTATAAGGCTCTAATTTGTGGTTTACAGTGCATCTGCAAAGTGTTCGGAGCGCTTCACTTTTTCCACATTTTGTTATGTTACAAATCATTCTAATATGCTGATTTGCTGCTCAAGAAACATTTATTATCAATGTTGAAAAATGTTGAGCTGCTTAATATTTTTGTGGAAACCGTGATTTTTTTTCTTCAACGAACAGAAACATTTTAATTTAAAATATATAATTTTGTTACATTATAAAAAAATATTTACTGTCACTTTGGAGCTATTTAATGCATCCTTGCATAATAAAAGTATTAATTTCTTTTAAAAAAATTACTGATCCTATTCTTTTGATTAGTATAATTTTGGTTTACATAAGCTTTATAAGGCTCTAATTTGTGGTTTACAGTGCATCTGCAAAGTGTTCGGAGCGCTTCACTTTTTCCACATTTTGTTATGTTACAGCCTTATTCCAAAATGGATTAAATTCATTATTTTCCTCAAAAGTTTACAAACAATACCCCATAATGACAACGTGAAAGAAGTTTGTTTGAGATATCTGCAAATTTATTAAAATAAAAAATAAAATAAAAAAAGTCACATGCACATAAGTATTCACAGCCTTTGCTCAATACTTTGCACATTTGGCAGCAATTCCAGCTTCAAATCTTTTTGGGTATAATGTGACAAGCTTTGATCATCAGCATTTGGCAGTTATCTGCCATTCTTCTCCTCGCCTCTTCAGCTCTGTCAGGTTGGATGGGGGCAGATGCACATTTTCAGGTTTCTCCAGAAATATTTGATTGGGTTCAAGCTCAGGCTGTGGCTGGGTCACTCAAGGACATTCACAGAGTTGTCTATAAGCCACTCTTGCTGTGTGCTTAGGTTCATTGTCCTGTTGGAAGGTGAACCTTCTAAAAAAATCACATGTACATAAGTATTCACAGCCTTTGCTCAATACTTTGTTGAAGCACCTTTTCACCAATTACAGCCTCAAGTTTTTTTGGGTATGATGCGACAAGCTTTGATCATCATCATTTGGCAATTATCTACCATTCTTCTCCTCTTAAAGCCCAGATCGGTGGAGTTTTGCAGTGATGTTTGTCCTTCTGTAGGTTTCTCCCATCTGCACATATGATCATGGAGCTCAACTAGAGTGACCATCAGGTTCTTGGTCACCACTCTAGACAAAGCCCTTCTCCATTAATTGCTCAGTTTGGCCAGGAGGCCAGCTCTACGACGAGTCCTGGGTGTTTCAAACGTCTTCCATTAAGGGTAACAGAGAATGCATGCTTTTATAACCCTTCAATGCTGCAGAAATTTTTCTGTACCCTTCCCCAGATCTGTGCCTCGGTACGCTCCTTATCTCTGAGGTCTACAGACAATGCCTTCGACTTCATGGCTTGGTTTGTGCTCTGACATGCATTGTTAACTGTGGGACCTTATATAGACAGGTGTGTGCCTTTCCAAATCATGTCCAATCAACTGAATTTGCCACAGGTGGACTCCAATCAAGTTGTAGAAACATCTCAAGGATGATCAGTGGAAACAGGATGCACCTGAGCTCAATTTTGAGTGTCATGGCAAAGGCTGTGAATAATTATGTACATGTGATTTTCGTTTTTTATTTTTAATAAATTTGCAAAGATCTCAAACAAACTTCTTTCACGTTGTCATTATGGGGTATTGTTTGTAGAATTTTGAGGAAAATAATGAATTGAATCCATTTTGGAATAAGGCTGTAACACAACAAAATGTGGAAAAAGTGAAGCGTTGTGAATACTTTCCGGATGCACTGTATACTGTATAAGCTTTTATATAATATATAAAAACAACTGAAGTCTATGGTAGGACCCTATATTTAGTTAAGTGTCTAAATGTATGTATTTATGTGTGTGTGTGTGTTTGTGTACCTGTTTGGGGACTTAAACCTGAATACACACAGACTCATGGGGATACACAGAATGAAGTTTTTTGAAAATCAAAAAAATGCAGAAAGTTTCCTGTAAGGGGTAGGTTTAGGTGTAGGGCAATAGAATATACGGTCTGTACAGTAGAAAAACCATTACGCCTATGGAGAGTCCCCACAAGGATAGCAAACCAGACGTGTGTGTGTGTGTGTGTGTGTGTGTGTGTGTGTAAGAAAGTGCAGAAAGGGGAGGAAGCTCATCACTGGGAAGTGGGCCAGCCTTGATGAGCACTTATTCAGGTTATATTTAAACTGGTGCCATTAATTGTACAGTGTGGAAAGCTGTTATTTTAATTTGTGCATGATGTTTGACAGTCAATATTAGCCTTGATTGCTCCACAACCCTTAAAACCTTTAACAGTCAGATGATTGTATTTTGTCTGTTTAGAGAGGCGGAGGGATTTGTGGTCCCTGGATTCCAGATGATGGTGAAATTGTAACCCACACGGTATCCAAAGCTGGCAAGATGAGCCAACTGCTCTGGACATCAAAGGTTACAAGCAATTAATTTAATTTAATTTAATTTTAATTTGTTTTATATTATATTATTATTTTATTTTTTATTTATTTTATTTTTTTATTAATTATTTTATTTTTTAAATTAAATTAAATTTTATTTTATTTTAAATGGTGATTTTAATTATTTTTACCCAGGTGGTGCTGGTCCATTTAGGAGTTACATCGGTCATTGCTCATATCAAAGTGGGACAGATGCATGCAGCACTAGAGTCCAAGGTGTTAGTAGTCAGAGCTCAAGGTTAGTATAACTTGATACTTTAGGGATGTTTGACAGTCAATATTAGCCTTGATTGCTCCACAACCCTTAAAACCTTTAACAGTCAGATGATTGTATTTTGTCTGTTTAGAGAGGCGGAGGGATTTGTGGTCCCTGGATTCCAGATGATGGTGAAATTGTAACCCACACGGTATCCAAAGCTGGCAAGATGAGCCAACTGCTCTGGACATCAAAGGTTACAAGCAATTAATTTAATTTAATTTAATTTTAATTTGTTTTATATTATATTATTATTTTATTTTTTATTTAATTTATTTTTTTATTAATTATTTTATTTTTTAAATTAAATTAAATTTTATTTTATTTTAAATGGTGATTTTAATTATTTTTACCCAGGTGGTGCTGGTCCATTTAGGAGTTACATCGGTCATTGCTCATATCAAGGACAGATGCATGCATGCAGCACTAGAGTCCAAGGTGTTAGTAGTCAGAGCTCAAGGTTAGTATAACTTGATAAATGCTTTAGGGATTTACAGAAAAGATGTCTTCAAATTTTATTTTATTTTAAATGGTGATTTTAATTATTTTTACCCAGGTGGTGCTGGTCCATTTAGGAGTTACATCGGTCATTGCTCATATCAAAGTGGGACAGATGCATGCAGCACTAGAGTCCAAGGTGTTAGTAGTCAGAGCTCAAGGTTAGTATAACTTGATAAATGCTTTAGGGATTTACAGAAAAGATGTCTTCAAACAATTGGTACATCAAGGATATAGATGTTATTCAAAATAAACCTAGTGTTTGATTAAGCAAGGTTGGCATTTTAATACTGATCCAGGAAATCATTAGTGTCATATGAGAACAAAATTAAGGTTTGTCTAGGGATGTTTGTCTAGGTTATGTTGCACTTTCATTTGTACTTGTGTGTCAGTGTGTGGCGACGACATCTGTGAGCTGGAGGAGAGCTGTCTGACATGTCCTGCTGACTGTGGGGTTTGTCCTATGTCCACATCCATCAAAGTGGCCATTGGGCTTCCTGTGGCCTTGTTCTGCAGTGGTTTCATCTTGACGCTGGTGGTGAGAATGTCGGTTCAACACTTGACAATGATTTGCAAGTCGATACAACTTGCAGATGATAAAATGGGACAAGAAACTTACATTGAAGGAAGGAACAGATCAAATGGATTTTGATTTGATTTGAACCAAGTGTAGTAGCAATACATTTTCTTCTTGTTCTCTCGGGCAAAGAATTGACTCGGGTTTCGTTCCAATTTCAATCGTTTACTGGATGTTCTTGCTCAATAAACAGAAACAAAATAAACACCGGTCAAAAAACTGTGTAGCTCCGTCTTTCTTTCTTTCTTTCTTCCCTTCTTCCCTAAAGGGTCACCAAAAAGGCGCTTAAAGACAGTCCAATAATAAAACGGAACAAACCATTACAGAATGAACATGGGGGGTGTTTAACGAATATACATATAAATCCAAACACATTAAAATTATACCTACTCATGCACTTCTAACTTTAATGTTAAACTTAATTATTCAAATTATGGCTCTTACACCAAGTAAGCAATCAACTCCCATCTCAGCAGACACATTAGCAACATGCATAGCAATGCTCTAGCAATCACTAACAATACCCTATATGGGTTTTTCACAGGAAAGTACCACTCACATTTTTACAGAGCCATGGACATGGAAATGATAAAGATATGAGATTTGGAAAAAAGTAGATGAAAATGCTTCTGCGTTCACTTGCAAAACTGTTGTGTTCTTATGAGAAACCTTGCATTTGTTTGCAAATTATTTGCGTTTTCTTGCAAAACTACTGTTCTCCCATGAAACTTTGTTCTTTTGTGTTCCTACAAAAAACTTTGCATTCAATTGCAAAACGTTTGCGTTCCCATGAAAAACTTTGCATTCGCTTGCAAAACCTGCCCAGCAGAGACAGAACGTCAATATAACGTCGGACAGACGTTGCATTTTGGTTGAGAATGAAAATCGGGTTGACGTCACCATCAACGTCAGCTGACGATGGTAATGGATATCAAATTAACATTGACATGAGACGTTGAATTGACATTGAATTTTGGTCACCTGATGTCGCAACCGAAATTTAACCAAATATCAACGTCTTATGACACTGTGTGCCTGCTGGGTGTGTTCCTCCGTGAAACTATGCGTTTACTTGCAAAACTTTTAAGTTCTCCTGAAAAATTTTACTTTTGCATTACCCCAAGAAACGTTGAAGTTTTGCAAACCCCCAAGAGACTTTGTGTTTGCTTGCAAAACTGTTGTGTTTCTCAAAGAAACTTTTATGTACTTGGAAAACTTTTAAGTCCTCCTGAGAAACTTTTCATTCACTCTCAGTACTTTTGCGTTTCCCCAAGAATCTTTGTGTTTACTTTGTTATTATTTGCAACACCATTGTGTTTCCCCAATGAGACTTTGCGTTCACTTATGAAACTTTTGCATTTCCACAAGAAATTTTGCATTTACTTAGGTTGCTTGCAACACCTTTGTGTTTCCCCTAAGAAACTTTGTGTTTGCTTGCATCTAATATTGTTTTCTATCACCACGTTCCTTTAGAGGCTAAAAAACTAGTCAGTAATGTATTATTCTGGCTAAGTTGTTACATTTGTTACAAACCATATTACTTGTGTTTTCCCATTATGATCCCCCCCCCAGTGGCTGCAATACCAAAAACAGAAAATGTTTTGGGATGAGAGCTGGATCGTCAGCTACAATAATATCATGTTTGGTAAGAGGTTTTAGTCTCATCACTGTTACATTAACAACATTTATTGTTTGTATTATTTTATATGACAAAACAATTCCTAGTCAATTACATTTTTTTTTCTAACTGAACAACCTGTTTCATGCCAATATAGAATTGGTTTTCTTGGTTATTAAATATTGTTGCATTTATGCTGAAATTGTTTTTGGGCCGTACAGGTAAAGTGTGTTACACAGGTTTTTGTAGCAGCACAAGTCTTCAGACTGTAAAGAGGAACTCCAGTGTGAGTAGAGTCACAGATGTGACGGTCTGCACTGCAGTCAACACCAAATTCAAACCACGCTTCATTCAGGCCGGCATCTAGTGAGTGTTTTCAGTGATACTGCCTCTTGGGTATCTCTACTGATGCATTTTCTAAAACTAATGGGCTTGTCTTGTCTTGTCTTTGTTTTGTTTTGTCTGTTTTTTTGTTTTTTTGTCGTCTTTTTTGTTTGTCGTCTTGTTTTTTGTCTTGTCTTTGATTTGTTCTGTCCTTTTTTGTCTTGTCTTTGTTTTGTTTGTCTTGTCTTTGTTTTGACTTTTTTTGTTTGTCTTGTTTTTATGTCTTGTTTTTTGTCCTTTTTATGTCGTTTTTGTTTGCCTTATCTTTCAGGGTTTCTGCAGGATTTTTTAAGCTCAAATTTAAGACCTTTTTAAGACCTGCACAAATAAAATTAATACCATATGAGCGGGGTAGGGCAATGTCTATAGTACCATATTAAACTGTAAAATTACTGTAAAAAGCCTAATTTACAGTTCAGATACAAGTTTTCACAAAAACAAAAAAGTTTAATAAAATGATAAACTTTACATTTCAGCCTTTAAACCATTTTTAAGAAAATGGATGAGTCAAAAGTATTATAAACAATTATTAACAATAAACTATATCAATTAAATAACAAATTAGGCAATTAAATAACATAAATTAGGGGTGTGCGATATTGACAAAAAATGATATCTCGATAATTTTCTGGGATTTTATCGATAACGATAATTAGACAATATTTTGCTGAATGTGTTATTGTGCTGATATCTTATATCTAATTGTGCTGACAGCTGAATGTTTTGATATTCATATTCTGTGTGGTCAGTTCTCAGCAGTGACATTATGTGATAATTCTTAATGCATTTTAATAGACTGATTCATGCAGTGAAAGAATGCACTCTAAATGTGCACGTGCACTAGTCTAACCTACTAGACTTCTAGATCACCTAATGTATGCGTGCACTCTGTAGGTGTTTTGTTTGCTTTTCGCAATATGCTCGATAATATCAAATCGCACATCGTTAAAACAACAATTATGATATTATCGCAGACCATACATATCGCACACCCC